GTTCATGATACACCACATAGTCAGGCATATAGCCCATTCCTTAAATTGGAACAATTGCACTGTTATCATTATTGTGACTATTACTATTAGCGTTATCGTTACACTCATTACTCTGATCATATAGAATATAACAAAATATTTTCAATTTATAAAAAAGCAGAAAAAATTGCGAATTAAACAGAAACAAAGACGTATGAATTCAATAAATTTCCGACCGAAACACAAGACATAACATCATTTATGAATCAGTGTCCATGAGAAATAACTGAAGAAAAAGTGAACTAAATGATTAAAAACAAACCAAAAAGAGCAGAAGTTGGATGCAGAAAACACGGAATACCAGTTCTCACGTTCACATACTCGCCGATACCTTTCAATCTGAAAAACACACATCACTTAACAATACGTATCAATCGTGCCATAAACATGCACAAAATCCCAGTTATCCATTACCATCCATAGTCCAACAAAATAAACTACTATCAACTGAATCCTCCGATTAAACATTGAGAAAAAATAAATTCTCTAAGACCGACGAAAAAAACAAAAATGAAAACATCAGAAAATGTCAAAAAAAACGAGCCTCGCAGCGTTATGGAAATACGCTGAACAAATACATTTTCGAATGATGTCCCATTCTGTCCCACACGATATCAACTTGATTTTTTGATCCTCCATTATATCTTTCAATTGAGCACGCACCTTAAAAGCATTTCAGTTTCATTCGACGTGTGTTTGGAGCTGAACAATGACGAGCGCTGATAAAAAAGAAAACTTTGAGCAATGAATTCTGATCATGAAAGTTCTCAAACAAACAAATAAACAAAACAANCTGATAAAAAATAAAACTTTGAGCAATGAATTCTGATCATGAAAGTTCTCAAACAAACAAATAAACAAAACAAAACGAAGTCAATGGCAATACCTCGCGAACTTTACGCATCGCTTTCGCATGTATGAAGTTATCGTTGCACCATTTCGTTGAATATTTATGCAAACGCCATTGCAAGTAAACATTCAAAAACGACAAATGATCACTCTCGGGCACCTAAATTTTCCAAGTTATAACAAATTTATAATTTTATATCTACTCATTATCAATGATCATCAAAGTCATTCAACCAATAATTAGAACAACTTTCTCAACGATTCAAATTCCAGTATGATTCTACAATATCACTGTAGAAATCATCAAATTCAATTACAAATATCCCAATTATTTACAAAGCTGAAATGCTGATTATTATCTAGAAAATAACCTGAAATTTCTCTTTTTTCGAGTCCGCATCTTCCTCTCGACCCTTCGGCCGGAAAAATATGGCTGGAACTGATAACATTGAGACGACTGTGAGTATTTCATCACTGCAACCCATTCCTTCAGATACGATTAACATCTTCGACAGAGTTGGATCGAGAGGGAACTCCACCATCTTACGACCCAAATCGGTGAGCTGACCTAAAAT